CCTAAAAAAGGAAATACTGAAATACTTGCTTAAATCAGGCTAAAGAACGGAAGTGGTGACATGGTGGCGAATTCCACAAGAAAAAAACGAATGGGCATGCGCTGCTTTCGTGCATAAGTGTCAACTAATCAAACCTACTTGCAAGAGATACGGTGAAGATGTGGTAAAGCCTTTTCTCTCGGGAGTATCTCAATTTTTCGAGGGAATGTGGACGGTAAATACTGCCTGTTCAATTCCGGCTCAAATGCCACCAACCACGAAAAGTCACCTGGAATGAGTCACCCGTACCATAAATTATCTAATAACAATGAGAGTAAAATCCAATGCAAAAGATATTCACTTTCTGCGAAGTATGCATACTACAAACTGAAGATGTCCATCCTTTCCCATGCTTTCATGCCCTGCGCAGATGTGAAAAGTTCGGACAGTGCGGGAGCGCGAAACGCCTCAGTATAATGTGCTAATGTTAGCTGTTCAGTCAGGGCTGCTTCCTTAATCAAGCGCTAGCCTAATGCCACCATTCTATACTGACGCTCTCGGCATTTACTCGCCATCCGTCCTATCTGCACATTAACATCGGTGCACAATATGAAAGTAAGCTCAGATGTCGAAAAAAAAGCCAAGAGAGCAATGAGAGAGAAACGACTACAAAGTGAAAAGCTCGATCAAGTGGGAAACATAGGTAATAGAACTAACGGAACACAAAAATGTGGAAAGAAACCTGAGAAACAAAAGGGAGAGATGAGTCAAAAAAATAAGTAGACAGAAACAGAGAGGGAGAAGGGCCGCATGTGGTATTCTAAATTTAACGCAGAGTAAGCAGTAGCGTAATCGCTCTTATCTACAACGTATTATGGTAGTAGGTCCAGAGAACAATCTGACCAAACAATCTATTAAGTATTTTTTCCCGAATTATGAGATTCTTTCCTTCTAGAATCACCATTTGAATCTATTGAGTATTAAAAAAGTGCGAAGATAGGTGAACTGATGGATCTTTTGAAAAAAATAATGTAATTGGTGGCAACATGAAATAGAAAACCATTAAAGAAGAAAAATTTTTAAAAATGATGGATTACCGTCACGCTCGACGCCGTTCGGTCGCTGTGTGGCTTCATGCATAGAAGTGTCCAAAAACTTGGACGATAAAAGTATGAGTTTTGATGCTGCGCTCGTGGCTGCATCCAAATCAGGTCTGAATGTGAGTACTTCCAAAATACTGAACAACTTTCTGAACAATAACCTTGACAACTTACGTAAAGCCTAGTGCATCTAAAGGAGGCATCTGCGAAGAGTCCAAACGCCACTCTTCCGTTTTTCGTGGAGGCACCAAAAAAGTAAGAGTAACAAGAAATATTCGCATAAACGCTATACGAGAGGAGAGCGTAAGGAGCTTTGTCTTTTCCTCACTTTTATCCTATAAGAACAAGATAACAAAATCCACGACATACGAAAATATTCAAATTTATAGCAAGCAATGTCATAGTAGTAGGAATTTTTGGACGTCGGACTTCGCAACCGCAAAACCTAATAGCCCATTCAAATTTCACTTTACGATGGAATTCTAAAAAAAACTGAATAGAACGAAACGGGTACCGATTCCTCAGACTTCCGAACAAGATCAAGTTCAATATCCTTCATCAACTGAATAACCTCATGCATTGAGTACCGTGATGTGCAAGGAAACGGTAAATGCGGATTGAAGTCCTCCTGAAAAACCACATAAAAGGCCATCACCAAACGTTTGAGTTCACGAGCTACCTCTTCGTAAACGCTCGCATTCTGTATAATACTCTTTACAAGCATGACAATATGATAGAATCCATGAGAAAGGCAAGCAAATACGGGATGATCTTCGAAGCGAACGCGATCTGGTTCTGTGAGCAGGACATTTGTCCATAACTGAAAAAATGAAGATAACGTTCTATATGCAGAATTAACGCACAAGAAAACATTTCAGTGTCTCTACCGTCTGCCCTATACAGCTGCCTTCAAGCCATGTAACGAACGTGCATAAAGTCGCGTCGTAAATAATCAATTGATCTCCAAGAGATGATTCATATAATCCCTTAATAAGAAACAATGTTAGCGGCAAACACAGCAATGCACATGAAGTGAAAGAGAGAACGGAGGAGCAAAACAAATGATTTAAAAATTAATTTACCAAAATAATTTTCATGGATTTGGATATGAATCAGAAGCAGCCTAATAGCATTACCATTCAATCCACCTTACATTTCAGATTTTGCAACAGGACATTTTTTGGTTATACAAGTGCTCCAGATTAAAAATCTTGCTCGTTACTACCGTACAGTTTAGGAGGCCAATAAAAAAGGAACATTTCGTCTCCACATTTGAATGAAATTAATCACTCTTTGCCCGATGCTCCACCTGGAAATTGAGAATCACATTCCATGTTGCAATAGAAGAAGCTTCACAAAGCCTTTTATGCAGACGACATCAAAGGCAGCGAGAGGGCTACATAGAGAGGGATTTCAGAAATATTGCTGTAAGACCTCTACTGACAGCGGCAATCCGCGACTCCGCGACGAAAAATCACTGATGTGCTACAGGGTAAAATGTTTTTTTTTTCAGCTTCGTCTTTGAAGGTATGTTGTAACACCAGGTAGAAGGCCACAACTTATCTTCCATCTAGCCCCCCCCCCTACCGTCCTCCTAAAGTATTTCGCCAATCGGCTGAACGGTTTTTGCTAGTGAAGCTCTATAAGAACCAGTGATTCGCCTGTACTGGTACATGTTTCACATGTCGTTAATTGCCCCACAATTGTTCATGATTCTTCACAAACTGGATTCAAGGGTCGGATTTGCATTTCTATTTGTGAGGCATACGAAAAACTAGCATGAAACGCTTTTGGAAAAGTTTAAAGGCACAACCCAGGCAGAGGTCGTGTGAACGCTTCCCTTCGGTCTGTAGTATAGACCCCTAGAGGACAATCACAAATGTGGCGTTCCCGTGCACGGAAACCAACCGACAAGAGCGCTTGGGCCTTGCAAAGTAAGCTGCTGAAGCTGCAGATTTTTTCTCTTATCAGGCTGTTGTCTGGCGCTCTCTCATCTGTAGCGCTCTCTCGCCTCATACTCTCCTCTCCGCGCTTAGTCTCTCATTCCCTTAGCACAGCCGATTAGGAAGGTGAGTGAGCCCTTAACCTAAGCGTTTTCGACGGATTCTTTTCCTTTTTTCTTACTGCCGGCCCATTTCGCACCAATACATTCGCATTCGTGTGCAAGAGCCACACCAAACCGATCCTGGGGCATGCCTTTACAAATAGTAGCAATTATGTGGACATTGACTAACCTTTGCTATCGATTCTTCGAGACCCATTTTGCGCGTAACCTTTTTCATGCCAATGTCCATTTTCTCGTCCATCAATTCTACTGCACTCATTGCTTCTCCGAGTGTAAATGAGTCATATCGAACAACCTCACCCAGGGCTAATCCTAGAAAGAAATTTTGGTGAAGACACCTTCATCGGCCACAACTTGCGACTGTCTCGCAGTACGACTGCAGTGGATCATATTGACCTTGCGTACGATTCTGCAATCGTGCAATCATACAACTGTAGGGTCGCAAGTTATGGTCGTGGCCTTATGCCTGTCTTCAATAGCTCAGCAATGAAAAGTGCGCTTACGGGAGCAATCCTCGAAGAACCTTTCCGTGATGTCGATCGGTTCCTCATTGTCGAAAGGTAGATCGAGCTTTCGAACGGCCCTATCGAGCAGCTCCCGCAGCTCCGAATTCGCCATTCGGAGAGATCGAAAACTGAACAGACCATGCGTGTGACTCGATGAAAAAATTCAAAAATGCTAGGAGGAAGCGAATCCAATGCTGGCAAACACTCGAGAACGTAGAAAAACAATTTATAAATTTCAATTTGAGTAAGTAATGCTAGCAGTGGTTAAAACAATACAAAATACAAAGGAGTGAAAATCGACAGTGTAGATGATACCCGATATAGAACAACCATTTCAATTATCAAGAAAAAAAGAATGTTATAAGCATAAATAAGTGTGAGATCTAAGAAATTAGAAGATATAAGAGATCATATAACGGTGCGACACACGCACACCGACGCTTTTACAGGGAAAGGTTACCAAAACCACTGGAGTGGTTCGAGATATGACTGAAAGGAGGGAACATACAGGTGTGAACGGAGGCAGTTATGCAGAATGTTTCGCGTTTTCCTTTGCTGCTTCCTCTTCTTTTATATCGGAAATTAAAATGGCTAAATCGACGGAACGAATATCCTGCCTCTATTTGATCCTTTGGTAGCTGATGAATTATTATAGGAATATTGAATCGCGGTAGTTTCGGAGGACGCGGTCGATGGTTTTCGTCTGGACTCTCTGTCCTCATATCAAAGCGTTCATCTAAAAATGGATCAAAATTTTGAGGGAAAAAAAGGCGATTGTGCCAAAAGCAAAAATGTAATTTATCTAAGGCCCTATAAATTCTCCCAATCTTGGAGAAAAAGTCGATTCTTTACTGCTAACTGACCAGATCAGGATTTGGTAAGAAGGATTTAATGAAGTTTCCAAGAATGATTTGGAATACACTCTTTGCTAGAACTCACTCCAACTATTGTGAGGCTCACCAAGAAAATACGACTTGACGATCCTTTCTTGGATTTGGCGTTCTCGTTCTCTCCCAATCTCATCCAATAACTGCTCCCTCAACTTTTCCTACAAACAAATAACAATGGTAAATGTCTTAAACTTCGCTGGGAAATATAAAGAGGCGTTTGGATCTTTAACAGACCTGAGCAATGATTTTGTTGTCGTTCTGGTTGGTTTCAGCAATCTTCTTCAGGCCGACTGTTCGCCGTTCTAACGAAGTCCAATTCGAGCGTACGAATAGCCTCCGTGAGCTTGAATACACATTTCAAAACTAAAAGAGAAAAAAAGCAACATGAACCAAGACAATAGTACTTACCCTATTTCGGGCTTCAAATTCTTCGAGAAGCTCGCGGTGTTTGACCAAGAATTCTGGATCGGTTTGATTGATCACGTCTTGTCGCCTTTTCATCAACTGAAATTCGTAAAAGCTAGTTAACTATCCATTAGTTAGAATGATTAAGCAGATGTAAAAAGTTCAACTCAAGTCTTCACCAACGTTGACGCATACCTGCTTTATTTTCAAATCTCTCAAGATAATCTTAAGTTTGTTGAACTGGATTTCGGACAAAATTATCTGTCGGAGGCACAATTCCCGTCGCTTTTCGTATTCGGCAGGATCCAGTTCGCTTTCCGAGTCGGAATCAGACATCTCTCGATCACCATCGGAGTCATGTCGATCGTCCTCAGTCATCTCGATACACGATGGTAAATCGGCAATAATGGCAGGATTCTGGGCAGATTCCAGAACAAAGAAGCTCAATTTTGCGGTCAAGAACTAGTGCTGAACCAACGAAACCTGCACGCCGAGAAGGCGGACAAGCTTGGAGCATTCGCGGCGTCAAATAAAATGTGTTGTTCACAGTCACACAAGATGTGCTCTATCTTACGTATAACAACACAACATGGGGCGCATACGCTGTAGTTTCCATCCAAGCGCCTCCCATATCTCGACCAGGGGCCGTATGCTGAATGTTGGGTAGGGGACGGGGATGGGGAAATGTTGGGGAGGTTCGTCGCAGGACCCACTGGGCAACGGTCGCACCTTTGATTTTGCAGCTTTGTTTCCATCCTTTTACTGTTTCTGATTGTATATTCGCACGTAAATACCTTTCTTTACACCAAAAGCAGCGATGAAAGAATGGAAACAAAGCTGCAAAATCAAAGGTGCGGC